CAAATGTGCGGGAAGTCGATGGATGCAGGTGGCTCAGGATCGTACTTCGTGGCAGTCTATGGGGGAGGCCTATGTTCAGCAGTGGACTCAAACAGGCTGAATGATGATGATGATGATGCAGGATATTTTCCTTCACCGCTGAGCAAGTGATAAGTCAGCACCTCAAATAGCAATTAAAAATTCGTTAGTGCGGGCATCGGGATTTGAAATTATTTTGCTCGAATATCTATTGAATTAAAAGCTTATTCGAAATGGTCACTGCATATTTGAGTACACTGAAGTAATGAGTTCATGACACTGGAACTCTAATACGATGTTAAAGATCATAAGACAACGTCTCGAACAAGCCTTGATAAACCATTGTAATTTTCCTATTGTTACAACGATAAAAAGAACAGTGCGATACGCCTTTGGCGGGTTTTTGTGCTGTCCATTAACTTAGTTAGCAATGCCTCGAAAAAACCAACCGAGCGATGTGACTCCGGAGTCACATTGAGCTGTTGCTAACCGAATGCTTACCATTCGTGACATAACCGACTCCGTTCTTTTTTCAAGTTAATTTTTTTTTGCATCGCGCCCGTCTCTGTAGAATTTGGCAATGCGCGTTTTAGAAATTTCGAAAGTCGAGTTTCGCGGTTAACCGATGGGCGATTTTGTTTTTGCCTTAGTAAAATTGAACAGGAGAAATCAATAAGTGCCGTAAATTCTTTTTTTTATGGAATAATTTGTATTTTGATAATGGCTGAACGGGTCGTTGGACTCGTTCGCACGATAAATTGAACGAGTATTTTCAATTATGGAAGAAAGTACAAACCCATTTTTAATAATAAAATATCACTGTATTATGATTATCGTTATGTAATTCACGAATAAATGACATTTTTTTGATATAAATAAGGAATAATATTTTAAAGATCAGCTATCACTAACAACAGAAGGACCTTCTCCCCTTGCCATCACATTCTAACATACCAACTGAAAAAAATATTGTGTGATGATGTTTTTATGAAATAATGTTTTTGAAGTGTTTAGGTATACATCTAAAAATAATATGTTTTTTGTTTATCACTTATTATACATAGTAAAAGCTTTGTTGTTATTAGTTTGGGACTAGGTAAAAAATTATATTAATATATTTATGTTAAAAAAAATCGTATAACCCAGATAAATTGATACCCGGAGTATTCCACAAATAGTTTACACCAACGCTTATCCCTATTAGCGTACGTACGTGTAAAAACATACGTTTGATCATCGAAACGACATTGAGTCGGCGAGGCCAAATTAAAAGTGACAGTCAAAGAGTCACTAGTGTCATACGTTGTCTCTAATTAAAAAAAAAAAAAAACTTACTACAGACTAAAAACAAAGTTAGTGCAGGCCTTGGTTTTCTTTGTGACTGGTTGTCATGTGCTACTTTGACCTGAATGCTGATAAACTCAATAAGCTCGACCGACTTCTGAATCGATTCATCTTCTAACTTCGTAAATATGACGATAACTATTCAGTTCTCAGCTAAAGTGTTGCCGATTCGTCAACGGCGTTCTTTAAGAGCACTGTCCACTCTTTATTTTTTTATTCGCTCTCATTCTTTTTATAACTCTGCGTATACACCATCTCATTTATCTCCTCACTTTCATTGTCCGTCTCCTAAATACAATAAAATGTACAATCGACCCATAATCGTATTTTAGAATGTTTGTCCTTCTCATCGTTAATACTTCTTACATTCTTCTTTCATTGTTTAGCCCATTCACTATGTCTCGAAATCAAGACGGTGAAGAGTCAATTATCTTTTAAAAGCGAAGCTTGTAAGCAAATTTTTAAACAACCGCCAGCAGAATCAGTTTGTCGTTAATATTCGCTGTACGTTTTATATTTTATAATATTTATTCTTTATACTTGCCGTGATAGCTCAGTGTCCGGGCGCTCGCCTTTAATTCAATATACTCGAGCAACCTGAGTTCGATCCCTGGTGCCGGCACCGATGAAATTGTTAATTTCAAGTGCTGAATTATCACGTGTTCAGCGGTGAAGGAAAACATCTTGAGGAAACCTGAATATTTTTGAAATAATAAATATCGAAGACCCATCCGCAGTGGATCTGAGAAAAGGCCTCCGTATAGAGCAGGCCTTTTCTCAGTAGTGGGACATGTATATGGTGATACTTTACTCTTTTACTTTACTATACTTATATTTTGTATTTATGTATTGTTTGGCTTAACTTTATTTATTATTGTATATTGCATATTTATTTGTACACACATATACATATAGTATAACCTTTTATGATATGTGCACATACCTAAATTTCTTTACGCCACCCACATACAAGGTTGACAGTCGGCGGTTTTACTAGTCTGTGCATAAAGTAAATATGTATAAATATGTGCATGTATAAATACCCCAGATAACCCAGTGATGCCGAAGCTATGCCTCTGGTTCTAAATAGTTCGTAATAAGAAGTTAAATAAATGTGTTTTTTTTCTAACAATTTAAACGTCACACGAATACCTGACAGCCACATAAAACTTAAGTATGTGGCTGTCGGTTTTTACTCTCAACTGACTATATACAAAGGTAATTGAAATCAGCTGAAACAAACTGTCCGCCGTATGAATATTTTCGCAGTAGCTCAGTGGCTTAAATGGTTTTTCTGTCAACTGCAATTGCATGCCGTGTAACGAGTTAGTTCCCAACACTAGATAAACAGTCACTTCTAGTCTGTGTGTACCCTATATCATCAACTCCTATAGTGCGCGATTCGTTCAAACAGTACAGCACAATTGAGACCGTGATATACGTTAGACACAATCGTGTTGTCGTGAAGAGGGATTGCGCATTTTCTAATGCAAACATTTGCATAGCCACTTACGCTTTTAAATTTATACGCTGTGTGCGTGTGGCGAAAGAAAGCGCCGGCGTAGCAGCCGTCTCGCTCTTGGTCGGTGTTAATTTTTTTCATATTTTCTCAAAACAATCGGCAAATGCTAGCATGGCGTTTTGTTCGCATCGAGTGAGAATTAATTATGTATGCCTGAAAAGTGAACGGCACAGATAAGGAGCCCTAAAAATAGTTATTATTTATTGAAAATTACATGCAAAGCTTTGTAAGCTCACTTTAAATCCTAACGGACTGTTTTATCGTTGCTTTCTTTTTTTTTTAAACATAGTCCTTTAGGATACCATTATCCTGTGTTGTAAGGACGGTTTAAAACATAAATTTCACGTGGACAAACACCCAGATGCGAAACAACTGTCTGTGGGTCACACAAATAGTTGTTCCGTGTGGGAATCGAAACCACGACCCGCGTCGCCAAAGCCAATAGGCAACTACACCACGGAGTCATCAAAATCGTTGATGCTTATGACGTCACCAGAACACCGAAGACAAGTGTGAGGGAGTGATTTTTTTTAGTGTAAAAAGTTGTCAACCGAGTGGACGGTTCCTCTGATGGTGATCTACGGTCGTCCATGGCCATCTATAGCACTTGGTTGGGTTGCACGTGCGTTACCAACCAATTTAAAAGTCTGCCCCGGTTGCCCCACTCACCGGACGAAACGCGAAATTGCAATACTTCCAACTCATACCGGTCTTCCCCGGACCAGTCTCCGCATTCGTTCAAACACAGAGGCTGCTGCCTGCGTACCACGGTTAGTTCGAACGCAAAAAACAGAACAAATATTGGTTGGTCTGCAACTAGAATTCGAGCCTTCCTCGGATCGCTAGTTCTATGTCCTTTCAACTGTGACGTCGCAAAACTATGCCCGAAAATACAAATTTTTTGTAACAGCCTTTAATATATTGCAGTTTTTTATTTTTTTAAGTGTATTTTCGCCATTAAAAAGTTTTTCACATTTCCATATAAAAAGACGTGATAAGGATTAATCCGTGTCGCGTGAGGTTTTACAGGCATGAGTTATTATAGACACAAAGTCTCACGCCCGGTTTCTGAAACACTTATCATCGTAGAAATTAACTAATCAGCTGATAAATGTCATTTGAGTTGTCACAAGGATGGTTAAACTCTTCAAAGATCAAAAAGCTGATTAGTTAATTTCTACGATGATCAGTGTTTCAGAAACCGGCAGTCAGGATCGGAGCAGCGTTTTGCGGGTCACTGTGGTCCGGAACAGCAGTCATTTGAGCCTTAGTAATCTTGTCAGAACGTTCCTTTTCCATTTGTACTTTTATTTCGTTTCTAAAACCTCAGTGGAAATTATAGACTGCATAGGTTATTCACAAATGTTAGAAAATATGAAAGTATTATTTACGTATAAGTACGCGTCGGCCGTTAGTTATCTTTGAGGAAACAAATATATTTTTGTAAAATAATATTTTTCAATTCAGAATAGAATCCCGTCTATTAGAAGTTGTTCTTCTAACCGCTTAAAGAAGATCTGTACATTTCTGCTCAGTTTCTTGGGTCATTGTTTACTTGACAACATTTTCAAAGTGAACGAAGCAATAATAAATTTCCATTACCTAAGCAATTATTACTTTAATTAAAATTAAAATTAAAAAAAAAACACAAATTATTCTGTCAATGTAGGTAGGTACTTTTATTACGAATTGTCACTTGACCTAAAGGTACAGCCTTGAGGCCTTCATGGGATCTTAGAACTTTAGATAACAGTTCTTGCAAATTGAAACTGAATTGAGGTAGATAGAGAAAGTAATTACAAATGAATTCCATAACATTAACATAGTTTTGTAATAATATTCAAGAGCTGTAATTACTACATGTCGGTGCGTTTATGCATTTTCTTCTATATTATCATACTAATATATATGTGCATTCAGTAAACAGATCCATGTTTATGTTTAACTACAACTAGAAAATGAATGTAAAGATTTGTCATATAGAGTTGCATATAAATTGTGTAAATGAAATAGAAAGTAACTAGTATCAGAGCTTTGTTAAATCTCCCCGAATCTACTGGTCATTTTAGTGACATTTCCCAAGTGTTGCTGGAATCTATCGTAGAAAATATGTATAATGACTGCTGAACATGCTGGCATAGCCCGGTCCATAGTTTCCAGGCAATTTTGCAAAGAGCGAAGAGACTGGTGCGTAAGTACGTGTTATTTCCTGAGAAAACTTATCCACTAAAGAAGGCGAATACGAGTTTTTTCTAAGGTGTGAAAGTTAATGTTAATCGTTGCGTATTGCCAACTCATGCAACTCTGTGTTGCCTTCGTCGATGGCGGCATCTTCCTAACTAACTAATGACCTGACAAACTAACATAAAAATAAATATAAGCCCCATGACCCATAACTCTCAATGTCCGTTGACAGTTCACTCGTCTGATTAAAAAAAATCACATGGATATACGAGGTTTTGACGGTTTGGATGGTGCACTTTTTTAAAACAAGTCCAAAGACTTCATTGACCTTCCTAACTAAATTTGACGCGGGAAACTTTCAAAAACTACGATAAAATCTTTTCAGCTACGACATGGCTTAAACTAATATTTTTTGGGTGTTAAATGCGGATGAATGATAGTTGCGACCTGTGGCCTACATTCGTGTTCCGAGCGTAAGGCGATACCGTTCTTTTGTTTCCACTAAGCGTGTTCATTAGAGTACAGTAAAGTAAAGAGTTATTTATTTAGTATATCGTTTAGTTACAATGCGTATGTACATTTTTCGCTGCTGTTTTCTACGGTCTCTTGCGTCGTAAGGCCACGCATTAGTCTTCGCCGTTGCACGAATGGGCAGGACCGTCCGGGTACCACGACTTCACAGAAGATCGGCGTGTAGTGGAAGTGTACTGAGATGCGTCTGGTGAGTGAGGTAGCCGTGGGCCACTTTTTTGAAAGGTGTCAACACATTTGCAACCCTACGGGTGTTGCAAATGTCCATGGGCGGCGGTCATCACTTAACTTCAGGTGAACCGCCAGCTCGTTTGTCATCTTCTCCGTAAGCGGCATTTTGGCTTTAGACGGTAAACGGGCGAACTCGCTTTGAAACTAGCATCTGTTTGTCGCCGGCAATGCGATGCAATCCTCACGGGCGATGCTCAATTGTTTCTGCCAAATTCCAGGTGACAGAATGTCTCGCAACAAAGACAAGCACGAGGGCGCGAGCGGGCGCCAGTACCGCATCCTGTCGGACGCGGAGCGCGCGGCAGGCAGGAGAGGAGGCTGGACCACGCTTGAGGTGAGGGGAGAAACTCATTTCCTTGAATAATCTCAATGATTCGTGTGCCAATATAAAGTTCTACTGTCTACCATGGCTCATGAGATACAGCCTGGTGACAGACGGATAGACGGACCGACAGGCAGCGGAGTTTTTGTTATAGGGTACCGTTTTACCCTTTGGTTATGGAACTCTAAAAATGTCAGGGAAAATCAAGATTTTACCATGGCAAGAGTCCCCGCAAGCAGATGACATCTCTTTAATAATGATCGGCAGAGTTTTCCCCGGGTTCGCGAGGAACTTTATTTATTTATTTATTTATTTAATATATAAACCTTACGTTATATAGGCTTACCAACTAAATACATACAGAACATTGACATGTAAATATGTTTAACTTAATACTAAAGTCGTAAACAATATATGTACATATTTAAATTACAGGTAAACACAACACTTACAAAACAAACTTGAAATATAGAACAGGAACCTAACTAAAAAAAAAAAAATCTTTTATCTCTGAGAAAAAAAAACGAAATTAGGAAAATTGGGAAATTATAAATTTGAACTTAGCAATACTTAGGTTAACTTATTATAAAATTATTTGAAATGTGTATATATTTTTTTCTTAAATATGTGCAGTTTTTCAGAATATATATCTACATCACATTTCTGAAAGAGAACATTGTAAGCATTTAATGCAGTTGGTAGAGGTGTTTTCATGCCATATTTATTTCGACTTGTTTTTAGGTGAAAATGTTTGTAATTTTGTATCCTTGCACTTATCCTAGGAATATTAATGTTAATATTATGCAAGAGAGACGGACAGTCCAGTTCATGAGTAATCAATTTGTGCCGGAAAGCCACATACATTACATCTTTTCGCCTCTCTAAGGAAATCATATTAAAATGCTCCAGTCTTTTTTCATAACTTTTAATATCATGATATATGCCTCTCATATAGCTTAATTTAGATATGATTCTTTTTTGTACTCTTTCTATTCTTTGTAAATTATTTTGATAAATAGGATACTATATGATAGAACAATAGTCAATATTGCTACAGACCAAAGAAAAATGTAGGCTCTTAAGTGCTGATGTTGACTTAAATTCTTTTGTATTGCGATGGACAAACGATAACATTTTCATACATTTTTTAGTGTTATGTCAACACGATTTGTAAAACGCATTTCCGAACCGATATTTATGCCTAAATCTTTGACTAATTTAAATTGATCTAATAAATTATTTAAAATATGGTATTTACTTTGGAATTGTTTACGTTTTCTTGAGAATTTTATCTAATAACATTTTTGAACATTAAGAGAATTCTAATAACATTTTTGAACATTAAGAGAATTTTGAAGATTTCATTTTATTTTCTTCACACCATTTCGATAAATTATTAATGTCCCTTTGTAAGAGTATTTGGTCATCAATACATTTAATTGTCCTATAAATTTTTAAGTCATCTGCATATAAAAGGAACTGACTATTCTTTATGACAGCACGAAACTCAATTTTCTGTACAGTTGACATTGTCTCCCTGAATGACTTCTTGATTTGGCAGTAAATCGAACAAGAGTGACCAGATTAAGTCAAAATTTGGAATTTGTAGTGAAATTTAGTCGTCAAGTAGCGCAGGTATACAGGAAAGTTCCTGTTCCTTTCATTCCGTGAACTTTTTAACCGCCCCTCATAACTTTTCTATTTGAGGTCGCACTCTGAGCTAATAATTTCGCTCGCAGATTGACCTATCTGCCTCCTTCAACACATTCTGCTGCTCTCCATACGGTACTGAGTAGATTGACAGAAGTGCCTTCTGTGAGACAACTCTCCACAATGAACTGGAGAAACACCATTTTACGTTTTCTTCATTCACTCACGTTTCAACATCACTGTCTACGTCTAGATGTATAGATGACCTCATCTAGATCATCGTGTAAAACATGAAACGTTGAGAAGCCGTACCGGACGGTTGATTAATCGCCGATAACACGTGTAGGACATCTCAATTATCCCGCGAACACATACACAACATCCCACATTTAATGGCGCGTAGTAGAGCGAACGTGAGGTCTTCGTGTAATACAATAAAGGGATTAAGCTCTAACAACGCCGCGTATAAATAGGTTTTAATGCTCAGCGTTCGTTTAATCGAAATCGAGGCGTTGGATTACGCGAAAATATTCCTCGCTTATTTGTGGTCTTTATTTTCCTTGTCTGTTTGCTTCGAACTAGACAGCATGCCCCGACTCGCGGAGTCTTACGGAACATAATTTGTTAATGTACATTAAGCCTTTGCAATTAATTATATGTAAATACTAAGATTGTAATGAAATGCAATAAAGCGATATTTTAGTTAATTAGTGAAGACATTTATTGTACATATTTGTAGTTACGTAAGAGCAAACAATTTTTTTTAATTGTAGTTTTACATTAGTAGTGTATTGACTATTGATAATGTTTCATACCTTTGGGTTATCACTCCGCTTAATTATGCAAATCGTTGTGCAAATTGTTAAAATTTATTTATATATTCTTCATATGATCACATTGACAAACCTGTTTTGAGTAAACCAGATTGACCTATATTTTTGTAGTATGTTTACAAAATAAAGTAACAATGTTTTGTATATAGTTGAAATCCTCTTATTGTTGCTCGACACGCGCCTTCGGGCTTACTGATGACACAGGATGACCTTAGCCTTGAGGCTATATTTCTGACTTTCCTTAATGTAACGCAGGAGGAAAATTCATATTTAGCCTTCCTATTACATTCGGGACGTTGTGTGGTTTCTCATTCTTTCTTTTATGGGACAAAGTGACAAACGATCAGGCGGTTCTTCCGATATCAAGTACCCATTCACAAACAATACGTGAGTTAGCAGTTGCCATGGGAAACTTTAACAGGATGGGCCCCGCTTACCTCACTTACCGTCAGGTGGTTTATTAGTTCCAATTAATAAAATAATGTAATATATTTATTCACACTTTTATTGTTTGTTTTCGAAGTGTTTTCGACCGCATTTCGGGAATGTGAAATCTAATTCTTTGCATTACAGTGAGTACTGCAGAAGTATGTTTATTTGAAAGTAATAATTTATTAAAAGTAAATATCCTAATATCCTTATTAATATTATAAAGGCGAAAATTTGTATGTATGGATGGATGTTTGTTACTCTTTCACGCAAATACTAATGAATGGATTTTAATGAAACTTTACAATAATATAGCTTATACATCACAATAAGACATATGCTATATTTTATATACTTTTTTATGTAATCTGTCTCCCTGTCTTAATGTTACACCTTCAGCCTATTCTGCGCAGACGTGGTCGCAGGCAGCAGTTAGTAATATTATAAATGTGAATGTAAGTTTGTTTGTTATTCTTCTACGACAAAACTACTGATCCGATTATCATGAAACTTTATACACATATTCTAGTATCCTATCCTATCCTAGTATTAAAAAGGATATAGGATTGTTTTTATAAAAAAAAAAGATATTTTTAAGGGCTTCAACGCGAGCGAAGTCGCGGGCGAAAAGCTAGTTCGAAATGAAATCGCTTGAATTCAAGGAAACCGTTTTTTGAAATAGTGGAGCGTTCTTTACTTGGCTATATTCAAACGTTTATGTCAACCGAAGGTTTCTTCGTTTAATGTCGTCGATATATTTTGTTGTTGTTTACTGCGCTCTTAAGTTTTTCTTTTCATTTCGTAGACACTTAAAGTTGCATCGCATTCCATAATGTAAAACAAGGAAAGTGAAATGGGACACAGATGGTTAATGGTATTACGTTACTATTAAGATTTAACAATAGAATAAAAAGAAAAAAGACCATTTGAAAGGGTCATATATCTCTTAATAATTATATCTTATAAGAAGCGTAACTGGTTTTCACTTATAAATTTTGTGACTTGTGCAGATAGCCCCTTCCTACCTTATAGACCGGCAACAGTTCAGACGGGCGCTAGAAGCCCTGACCAGACATTTAATGAGGAGGTTTTAAGAACCGTAGTTTTTAAATACAGTTGTTGATGGTGTACCTCCGATCCAACTGGTTTCATGTGGCTAATACAACGCAGGAGGTCTTTAAGCGGTAGGAGGGGTATATATAGGCTGATACTTTCCTTCAGGATCAAAACGTCAGGTAAAAGTATCGTCTGTACAGAGGATACTTTTGCCAAGCAGTATGTAGGTACATTATTTTATTCGGAGGTGGAGGAGGAAAGCGACAGGTCTCTTACATTACCCGCCAAAAAGAGTAGTGATAAGACGGATGACCAATGGCTCGTTGAGCCTGTACAATCCACGCTCAACCGGACACTGGCTCACGCATGACCGCGCCCCCGTTACAGGTAACAGGAGGTGTGCGCGCGCTGGCGCCGCAACTGTTCCAACTGGCTCACCTCACCGAGCTGTATTTGAACGACAACTCGCTGCAGCGCATACCGCCCGACATCAGCCAGTTGAGCAACCTGCACACCCTCGACGTGTCCAACAACAAGCTGCGCTCGCTGCCCGCCGAGCTCGGCGACCTGATACAGCTCAGGTGAGTCGTCAACACTCATCACATGTGACGCTGTGTCTGTTGACGCGAGCTATATGAGTGGTGGCATATAGCTCACGTCAACACACACACCGTCATTTGCTTTTACTAATACGACTTCACACAAATAATCTCTGACGTACTCACAATGCACTGTAGTCTTTTCCGAAAAATGTCTAGATCCGAATTTTAGGGACCCCGTGTAGCTACAAGTTTATTAAAATCTTCGTAGAATTCTTTATTTTTTTGTGAGAAGTTGATGAAGAATCAGGTGAAGAACTGATATTTCTTTGACATTTAGATCTTGCAGATACGTTGCCACCTTTTAATAAATTTGGCCCCGGCTACCTCATCCATTTTACGCCGGTGTTCTTTGAGGTCATGCTACATACCCGGACGGACCTGCCCATTCGGGCACCAGTAAAGACTTGACTGCATGGTCCTACAACAAATTTTATTAACCATGCTATCGTGGTGGTATTTTGCCAATCTGCCACTCGCGGGTTTAGCTGGTTGATAGTAAAAAAGAGGCAAATCAATGCCTTGAATGTCGCGTTTTACCCCTCTTCTATTTTATTCTGAATACGTAAGTTCGGAATTTTTCTACTACGCATTTCCCCGCTGTAACTTCTTATAAAATGTCAATGATTAATACATAATAAGTTAGAGCAAGAAAAAACCGTAGAATTATCATGCAAAATTACGATTATGAATATTCTAGAAATCTTGTTTTCGTAACCGTCATTGGGTACCCTGCATAATTCACCAATGAAGTCGGCACGGTATTCATTCGGACATTTGGAAATTCGCACATTTATCGGCGTGCATTACATAACAAGCCATTGTGATGCTTATCGCACATGCGATAAGGCCGTTTATTGTTTAAAAAATAGCGCACGTGCCTACAAGGAAATATGATGATAGATAAAGCGGTATAATTACCAGCAGGTTGGGAGCGAGTCACAGTTCGTAAATTAATCGACAAACAAACCAGATAGCAGGGGTCTTTGACCTTTGACGCTGAACGATAAGCCGCTACAGATAACGCTGTTTTCTAAATTTATCCCGGAGGATTCGCAACTTGCTCGATGCAAGCTCCGTCTAAATATAACTTGAGTTGTTGGCGAACTGATAAAAGGGACGAACAACAAATAAAAGTACAGTGCCTCATGGCCGTCTATCTTCGGCAGTAAACTAGAAAAGGCGATGATGATGATACATAACCATATAACCACCATATTATTTTGCATCATTTATTGATATGGGGAACGGCGCCGAAAGCCGAAATACAGGTTTTCAAAACCTAGTTCGGCGACGGATGCTATTGATCTATTGTAGTTATTTGTAACATTATTATGTATTAGCACTAAGTCCAAAATTGTATAACTAAAAGGAAATAAACTTATTATATGACTAACAGAGTGGCTCACTAACTATAGTGTGTCTGGAGCATGATTTTACGCTGAAAATTCAATATTTCCCTTTTTTCTAACGTCGGCGTAGACCAAAAAACAAACCTTATGCTGTAAAGTTTTTCAGTTCTTTTGTATTACCGCCTGTGAAGGCAACATGCTTTGTTTGAAAATCAGCACCACATAAGTACTGCAGCATTTTGGACAGGACCTGGTTTGCAATCACACAATTTTACCGGTTTTGATTACTTCTCGTATTCTTGTATCTTTCATTATGGTGATGTCAAATAGCTTTTCTTTCTTTATTCTGTTGCTTTATTGGAATTGAATCAAAACATTTAAAAAGTAAAGTAAAGTAACTGCCTATACATGTCCCACTGCTGGGCAAAGGCCTCCTCTGTACAGAGGGTATCAGGGCATAGTCCACCACGCGGCCCCACTGCGGATTGGCGGACTTCACATATCTTCGAAAAATATTTTTTTTGTTATTATTTCGAAAATATGCAGGTTTCCTCACGATGTTTTCCTTCACCGCGGAGCACGTGATAAGTCAGCACTTAAGTTAAAAACTTCATTGGTGCCGGCACCGGGGATCGAACTCAGGTTGCTCGAGTATATTGAATTAAGGCGAGCGCCCAGACACTGAGCTATCACGGCTCTTAACTATGTATTAATACGTGAAGCAAAAACTTTATACCCCTTTTTACGAAAATTGCGCGTATGGGGGAGTATGAAATTTCCCACATTTATAGTTTATATAGAGGAGTGTAGAATGCTATTTTTTTTAATTATGAATAAAAATACATTAAATCAATTAAAACATTACACGCACTACCATGTATAATTAATTATGATCGAATTCGACCGCTAGTATGTATTAATATGAACATTCTTATAATGATATTTGAGGCATCGGTTGGCATAGTTGATAAGAAATAATAAGAAATGTGAACTCAACCGCTTTGGCTACGCCTACTGCTACCCTTCTGTACCCACGTGGGTTCCGGTATCTGTCTTTCCATGAATGGAACGTGGGCGTGTTATCAAGGCGTGATTGAATAGACGTCTACTGGGCTATACTGAACTGATACGCGTCATTGTCATCTCCAGTAAGACCCGTAAGTGCGACAGAGCGCAGTAAGTGGCGTCCTGCTTCCACGTGTGAGTGAGGTAGCCGGGGCCCATTTTGTTAAAAAGATGACAACGCTTCTGCTACTTCGGCTGTTGCAATTGTCAACGGCCAGCTTTTAGCACTTACAATAGGAGTACCGCCGGCTCGTTTGCCGCCTTCTCACGTAAAAAAAATTGTTTTATCCCGCGGGCAGCGAGTGTTTAACATTACTATCAAGTGGAATACAAAAGCGCTAGGCGGTTCCTTATCAACAAAAGACTACTGGAATTTTCTATAATAGAAAAAAATCCTCGGAGGGTTTTGTGAAAACAATTTCGTGATCGGCACATGTCTAATCAATCATTGTTTTATAATAATTTTATCTTTGTCATATTATTGTAACAGAAATGTTATCTCTGTTTTGGTGTGAAGCGACTGTAATCGAGCCTCGATGCTAAGCTAAAATTGACTTCCGTAAAGAGTATTGAATGTGATAAATATCTCGATAACGATACTGTACGTTGGTATGAACTTGCATTTTACGGAGAAATACTCCAAACGCTAATTGACACGAATGCATAGATGTTTCTTTGAATCTACCTTACCCATTAAATCGCATAAACCACTCTCTTTTTTACCTAAAAGCTGATTAGTTCTTGACTATACATTGGTAAATAGTAAATAGTAATAGTAAAAAGTTTAAGACACATTTGTACACAACGTTCTCTAGTTCCAAAATATGTCCATCACACAATATTATTCCAACAGTGGGGATTGAACCCCAACCCTGTAGCGCAGGAGGCGTGTACACTACCCACTACGCCATTCGGGTTTTTAAATGGTAAACGCACTGTCTCGGTTACATCCTATTCACTCTTGCCTTGAAGACTCGCTTTGTAATCTGACGGGAAAATCAACATTGAAAAACTGTACCACTTGTTTTCTATACGCGTTACGAAAGAGCAACTTCTCAAAGATCATTAAACCACCAGCAACAACTCTCTTACCTCTCATATCCCTCTTTATCTATTACTATGCGATAGATCCGATGGTTAGACTCTCATCTTTTAAGTTATTAACTTATTAATGTTTCAATATTCTATATAAAGAAAGATTTGATTACTAGCGATAGGTTTTTGACATTAGATCCATAATACTTACGCCAAAATTCTGTCTCCAGGAACCAAGTCTATCTGTAGATAGAATATTGAAACCGGCCGCAAGTAAATATAGATGAAAACTACAGTACAGAGACATACACACGCAATAACAATATACGTTCCGTTCCAGGGAGCTTCATCTGAACAACAACTACCTACGGGTGTTGCCGTACGAGCTCGGCAAGCTGTTCCACCTTCAGCTCCTCGGCTTGCAGGGGAACCCGCTCAGCAAGGAGATGCTCTCCATCTACAACGACTCCAACGGCACCGCTAAGCTGCTCACGTACATGCTGGACAACTTGCAAGGTCAGTGGCTTCTTTGTTTACTCCCGATGGTATCATCGAATTTAACGACTTATGCCCGCTTTCTGTATTAAACGAACGACCGTTATTTCCATAGCTTCGTAACTTTCATAACGACTTGTAGATTACAGGAACGCTAGTAACTTACTTTCCGCAGGTAATGCAACGGCTCGTAAGGATTCGTTTTGTTAATATAGGAACCTGGCTTTCAATGAGTCCCTTATGAAAGTTACAAAGCTATGTAACTAAAGGCCGTTCGTTGAATATAGGAACCGGGCATAATGATTAGTCGAACCTTGTACCTACTCGAATACCTAATACACTGGTCGAATTCTCTGCTAAAAATTTATTTGAGGGTGATTTTAGGACATGATTTATTACGATCTTTGATTAATTAATGTACATCGTTATCGCACAACTATCGACTATTCGTCGCACCGGCTCTCTTTCGATCGCAGCGACGCCAACGTAGAGTTGCACGAATTTTACGCCTAATGGTTAGTTAGCGATTTAACGTGTTGACCTTTTACGGTGTTAAAAAATTTAAATACACATGACTGTTAAGAAATTATTATGTACAGTAGGTGTGATTGAAGATCAATAATTTAAGGCTACTTGTCTTAATGATGTTGATGTCTTACTTTAGGAAAGTATTTATAGCGAAAGATGTTATAACTGGTAACTCAATAACTTGTGGTTTTAAATTTATAATATATGTTACTTGTAGGATAACATAGGAAATTGGCAGTGAACCACAAATCAAGTAATAATATTTTTCTTATATTTAAATAGCATTATTTATTTATTTATTATTATAAAGTAATTTGTTTAGTCGTTTTTATTTATTTTTTTAAAATTTTCAAACATTGGCGCTATACTATTGACTAGTTTTTTCTTGCAAACAGCGCCATCTATTGAAAGAGTTGGTCATGAAAAAGGGCGGGAAAGTAAGAAGTTGGTAAATTTGGGAAGCAAACTTTTATTTATTTTATTTTATGCACTGACTAGAAAAATAAACAACCTCATTATTTTGTGGATAAACAATGGAATATCGAATGGAAAATCAAATTTCTTCTAATGATAAATTAGAGCAGTATTAGCGTAAATCGAAATGGCGCGCACAGTGAAGTTTATATTCGAGATTGATCAACAAAAACACTGGTATTAGCGGTATTGTGACGATATTTTTTGGCTGTTGTTGCATTACGTGTTTATCACTCCTTCAATGGCGCCTTTTTGCACATTTTCTGTTTTTAACTTCTTGTGTTGTTCACGAGCATCGTGGATGTGCCTAAATTCTTAAAGTACGACGGTACTACGTTGGCAGGGCACAATTCTGATTTCTAATTTCTTTGCTGAAAAATTCATGGTTTTTGCTAAAAAGCACGGATATTTTTCGGTTCTGACTTAACTCTACAGGAGTATGCTTTTTTTTAATGGAAATAGGCAAACGAGCAGGAGACTCACCTGATGGAAAGTGGTCACCGCCGCCTATGGGCACCTGCAACACCAGAGGGATTACAAATGCGTTGCTTTAATTATTTTGATATGTTTGAAACACTTGATAAATTTTTATTCATAAGTTTGGTGATGAATATTTTGTGCTTCTTTTCGTCGCTAATGTTTTAAAAAACTTGAATAGTTCAATCTAATTTCCACATTCTGCAAACTATGCTTGCGTTCCCATAAGTTAAGATTATATTATTTATTCTGTATGCTACTAAAACTGGTTTATTATTAATTTGTGACATGTACATTTTATTTCAAAATAAAATAGAAATCGCTCCAGTAGTGTAGATTTAATGTGTCCAAATAAATTGTGTACTTAATTTAATTCATACTTAAATATAAGTAGTAAAAGTGCTGCTAGGAAAATTGCATCCAGGGCCAAGACATCTCCTGCCTGTCGTACAAGGTGATTAAAAGGGACTAAGGGGAAATTATGTAAGGTAGGTTACATGCAGTGGTCTACTATTGCCGTAAATCAGTGAGTCAGAACTGAGGAGTCTGTTTTTTAAGGAGACGTATAGAGGGTAGTCACGGGGCGGTTTAAGAACCCACCATAGTTTGTTTTCATCTCGGAAAACAAAGATACTTTTCCTGATTTCGCCCTATTGATTTCTTTGATCGGCCAATATTATTCATATTAAATGATAGTTTAATTTTACGGATGGTATCGCGTTTTAATTTCGATTTTTAATTCCCGACGATTCGAACCCTTACCAGCATTCATTGTCCCCTGTAAAGTGAAAACACCTCGCCCTCGTTACACTGAAAGTGACATCGACAGTCGACAGACGATACTATTCAACTTTCACTCGATTCCAAATTCAGTTCAGTGTTGGACTAATTAATTTGTTTCAGTTGTATTTGGAAAGCTGATTTATTTTCTATATTCACTTGGTTGTATTATTTATCTAAATCCTCTCATTGGCGATTAGGCCTGGTAGGTTGACTCTTGAATTGAGGTCTTTGGTTCGAAACCCAAATGAGAATCACAGGAGTTTTCTATTTTGACCTGCATGTGCATGGTGACAGGCTCGTTATCAGTGATATATTGGCTTATAAAAATAATGTAATACGTTGATAGCATTGTCAGTCTCTAATTATACATATAAAAAGAGACTGTCAATGCTATCAAGTCCTATTTAAATTGATGACTGCATTCGGATTAAAAAATTGAAGAAAAGTAGTCCTTATCATAATCGTCCTATAGTACCGCGGCCTCACAGAAGACCGGCATGAAGTGGAAGTATTAAACTTTCGCCTTTCGTCTATTCAGTGAAGTAATCATGGCCCACTATTTCATAGGTGGTCAACGTATCTGTAGGCCATCGGGTGTTGCAAGTGTCCATGAGCGGAAGTGTTCACTCAATTTTTTTTAACTTTATACCGCCTGCCCCCTTGACAACTTATCGCATTAAAAAATATCCGTCGTTCCGCAACTCGGAATCGAACGGTAACTTGCCGCAACTTTGCTAAGGAGTGCGACATTGATCCGATGAGTACTTTTTTCTACGGAGACGAATTTTCTTAAAAGATTTCTTCCCATACGTTTTGCTGTCAGCATTGGAGATTTTAAAATTGATTAATACCTTAATAATGTTTCGTACGTTGTCATCAGTGTGGTTTATGAATTTGATCGGTGTATAAATTTGCTTTATTTTCAAGTGAATTCATTAATCAGTTAACTTCGTTGCGACAGTTGAAATAGGGATAGGGTTTTTGCTCACTTACATCATGTTTAGCGTATATAATATCGCCGCAAGTTTATAATTCATTCATATTTGGGAAATTTTATAATGTATGCCCACAAAGTACCAGCATTCTTACTAGCTACTAATTAATCTTGAAATCGTGGTGACCCCGTTGCTGTTATTCTAGGATATTAAAAGAGAGTAGTAAAACTTAAGATTACTTATCAAAAGGGAAAAATTCAGATCTACGTAGCGTTCGTGTTAGTTTTACTTTCCCAATATTTTTGGTTTCGGAGAAGGAAATCTTGAGGGACCCCGGCATCTACGACGAAGACGAGGTTATTTGGGGTTCTTATCCTCTGGAAATCCCTGGAAAACCCTCAATTCGTCGGGGGGACCTACAGGATCTCATACGGTTGCCCGCCCCTCTGCGCAAAAGCACTCTGGAAACAAGACGCCTCTCACCACACCCTAGATTCTGTCGCAACGCGAGATCACTCGGTGTTGCCATTACCGTGGTAATTTCATGCGGTCAGCTCCCTGTCTCGCCTCCAACAGTATTGATAACGAACGCGATAAACACAATCGACCCAAGTGACACGCCGTAATGTTTCCGACTCGGGGGCGCCGGCCGTGCAAAAGTGTCGCTAATGGAAACGTAGCCGGTCGTCACGCGCGCGGACAATTAGTGGCTTTTTATTTGTTTCGTCTGAGGGGTGATGTACTAAGAGGGGAGGGGAGAGTGGATGAGGGGAGAGGGGAATCAATCGTGAACTCGTTTCCCAGGCGTCGTTTGTTTTAAGGCTCGCTTTTTTTTTGTGTTTTGCTCGCACCATGTCCCATTATGCTCGCTCGGCGAAAGGGCATGTTTACTTTGATTCGGTATCGCGTCTGTGTTAAGAGATGGGTTTCTTCGCACTTTTGCGTGTGGGCTCTTCTCAGTTTCTGTTCTTTTGTCGTCATAAGTAATCTTGTATTGATGGAAATCATGCTATCACTCCGGAGACTGTAAACCGTTATCGATTGTTCGGTGTCCGTGGAAAATCTAGTTTCCGCAGTATGGATGGAGACTAAAATATTATATTTGATAACTCCGTGGCGCAGTTGCCAAGGTACTGGCTTCGGCGTTGGGGGTCGTGGGTTCGATTCCTACACGGGACAACTATTTGTGCGACTCACAGATAGTTTTTTCGCATCTGGGTGTTTGTCCACGTAAAATTTATGTTTTTAAAAACGTCCTTACAAAACAGGATAGTGTTATCCTAACATGAGGGTAATGTTTTTAAAACAAAACAAAAACAAAAAAAGGGCCGTGATAGCTGGGTGTCCGAGCGCTCGCTTTTAATTAATTATACTCGAGCAACCTGAGTACATATCCCGGTGCCAGCCACAAATTAAATTGTTAATTTTAATCGCTGAATTACCACCTGTGGTAGGAAAGAAGAAAACAACGTTAGGAAATATGTATATTTTCTAAATAATAACAAAACAAATATTTCGAAGACATACCCTTCGTATAGAGGAGACCTTTGCCCAGCAGTTGGACATTTATAGATAGTTACTAATATTCACACATCACGTATAGAACAATTTTTCTATCGCTTCAAAAAATTTATTTTCACAATGATGCGTAACATATGCGTACCAGGTCTATAAGTGTCATATTGGAGCCAAGCGTGATATTATTTTATTTTTATTATAATTGTGTAAATATGTATACTTTTGGCGTGTGTGTAATAAACAATCAAAAACAGTGGTAATCCCATCAGTGGGTGGTTATAAAAATGTATCACCGAATTCAATTTTACTTAACTTCGTTGTCAAGACGCCTGGCACGTTTCCTTTTTCCTTCCAACCTAATCTACAAATGTTTAGAATGTCTACAGAAATTCCTTGATGAAAGTGGTTTTAAGTTGTACTTGAAAACAAGTTTATCTATTATATATGGTGCATTAGACTATTACTGATCGTTTTTATTTCGTTGTGATAAAAGTAAGATAACACCATATGACTGTCAAAAACGATTGAAATTAGTATATTCATTGTATTACAAGAAAATGAAGCGGTGAAGTATTTCATACGATTTTTCAATAGTGATGTGCGTGTCACAGTTATCAATGTCGTAGTTTTTAAAGGTTTTCGCTTCGTCCTTAACGAGAACGATGCAAATTGAAGCAAATCGAGTTTATAATATTCGATTATTATTGATCGTTCTTATTTTGTGACATGGTAAGACAGCACTTGTATTGCATTACATTACAGCAGCGAACGATCGTTCGATAGTGACACGCGTTTCAAAGCCATCGATGTCGAGGATTGGTTTTTAAAGGTTTCCGTGTCGCCCATTGTGGATTCGACGATTGTTTCACATAATAGCAACCGATTGAGCCTTGACTCGAGCGTAGATCACGCCCGCGCCGCTCGGAATGCAGAAATCCCGGTTGCCGTTGACGCTAAATAATAATCGTGATAAGCGAACGTCAGCGCGACAATAAATCCGCGGGGGCCTCCATTGTCCCGCTCCGTCACAATAGCGTTAGAAAGTGTGGGAAGATGTAATTGATTGTTTCAGACGGCCGCCGCGTCGGTGAAAACGCCCATGGAAACCGCGACCGCCCGAATGGGATCGGTCTGTTTTTGTGTTCGTTCACGATATTAGAAAGGTGTCTCGCGCCGTTTCGCTTTTCAATCGGCGATCTGCGAGGCTCTTTGGGCTTAAGTCTAGTGTTTGCCAGTGTCGGATTCGTTCAGTGTTTACATCACTACATAGTATAAAATAAAACAATGTCGCTAAAAACACAGTCGACGGTCATCGGGGTCTTGGTCCGCACCGCAACTTCGATGGCCCTTAGATGACATGTCGTAGTTAAACGCACGCATGAGCACATGCGCGGCCCTACCCACAGCGGAGGGCCCAAACCCGTGGGTTCTGGCTAGCCCACCGGTTCTGCGTCAGATGAAGCTTTAATAGTCTCGGGACTGAAAGCAAAAACATCAGTTAATACAAGATATAAGAACAAAGTCATCCCGCTGTCTGTCTGTCCCTATGTATTCTTAGATCTTTAAGACTACGCAACGGATCTTGATGCGGTTTTTTTTTACTTGATAGAGTGATTCAAGAGGGAGGTTTATATGTCCAATACATTGCACCCGTGCGAAGCCGGGGCGGGTCACTAGTTTTGTCTATTTGCTTCTCCGTCAGTTGCTCAAAGTGGGAACGTATCAAGGTTCGTGGCTGTTGCACGTTGTGTTTTGTATGTAGCTGCGAAACTGTAGAGTGTATTCATTACGTCAAGCTTTAGTTAAACCCGGCTAAGGAGCCCGGTCTACGGTTGTGTACCAAAAATTATTGTCATCTGTACATTACATTTGACGGAATCCTCTTTAATAGTCGGTGTTTGCGATTGTAGGTTTTGTTACGTTTGCAACGATGATACTGTTTGCTGAAAGCTCACAGTATGTTATGTTATCTCACTTACACTAAGCTTACAGTATGTTTAGAGAATTTCAATTTTTGTCTATAAACTAAGTAGAGTTTGACTAATCCTCTTCCCGCTCGTATGTGACGCTATGTATGACAATATGTATTACGTGGTGTTAAGTGGATAACGCTACCTAAAGAGTACTTTTGTCCTGAAGACTATACTTGTATAATAATCGAATCACGGACACTATATTATTCATTTCCAAACTACAGTATTGATGCCAATCACCACTCTACCGGTGTATTGGGCATTATACTGCATTTGATTTTATTTCAGCACAAAGGTTCAAAATGTATGATTTTCTTCTGAATATTGACTGGATGATAAAAAAAAACTTTTTACATATTAAAAGTATCAAGCAGTACCTATATCCAGGTCATCTAGTCAAGTCCAATCGCTGCCGACTACCTTCCGTACATCGTCACTATATTATCCTACCTAGTTCGTCATGAAGTTGACCAAATGACTGAATTAACTGTATTTTTTAACCTTTCATTATTAACTGTTTCGCAGTGGTGACTACTGTTTCTCTTGTTGGTAAGTGAATCGACACTTACATCGGTTAACGGTTAACCTCGAAGTTTTGAACTCTGAAAATCTTGCCATGTCAGAGATAAGGCCACATTTCGCAGAGGTTATTAATTAATAATTTTGAGTTTTTTCTTTAATTACTCTATTTTCATTGATGTGGTTTACGCATAAATCAGTTTATTGGCATACACTTAATAAATATAATACAATATAGTGTTAGTTGCTTGTGAAATGAACAGAAGCTTTACACTGAACGTTTTTGTTATTTAACAATGTGATATTACACGTGTGTTTACTGTCTCTTTGTTTGGAGATCGTCCACACTGGATGTTTGTTAAGTTTGAGTGCATAAATAAACATTGGCAAATGCATTGTATAGTTATTTTAGGATGTTTGTTAGTTACTTTGTTATTGTTTACGGCTGAACGCTGGTTACAATGTTGCACACGATGTAATTGCTGTTTAAGTTCTTTTTTTAATAAGAAGCAGAAAAATTTTGCGATCATCTTATTTAGGCGGTGGGAAATTAATCTCTCTTTTAAAAATACGTTTTAGCTTATTTCCACAAACATTTGTTGAACAGGGCTGAAAATGTAAACATCTTATCCTCGTAACGTCAGTCCGATTTTGTCAGTTTCGAAATTCATAAATGTAAGATACGGTCCTACAAGTTTCTTTTAATTTAAACTAGCCCCCGCCCCGGCTTCGCCAGGGTGCAATGCTGATATTAAGTATACTCTACTTTCTCTACTATATGATGCATGTATTATACAATAAAAACCTTCCTCCTGAATCACTCTTCTAGTAAAAGAAACGGCATCAATATCCGTTGCACAGTTTTAAAGATCTAAGCATACCTAGGGACAGACAGTCAGCGGGACGACTTTGTTTTATACTATGTAGGGGTTGTTATAAATGGGGGTTTTCAACTTTAAAGTAATTGTTTTTTTAAAGTAATTATATTTATTTATTTATTTATTTATTTATTTAATCTTTATTGCCAACCTTCAGTAAAACAAGGTAACAAAGGGCGGACTTAATGCCCAAAGGCATTCTCTACCAGTCAACCCAGGATGTGGTGAGAGTTTATGGTAGGTGCAGCAAAAGATGCAAGAATAATAAAATTTTAATTAACGAGAATATATATGAAAATAATATTATAATTGGATACAAATCATATATTAAGTTATATACATGCATATGTATATATATATATATATATATTCAAATATTTAAATATATATAAAGATGTATACTTGTATAAATAAATAACAATTAGCTTCTACTTTAATTATACTTTTCTTATAAGTATTACGTACTACTGCTCATCTGTCCGACGGGCAACAACTTTGGTTTTATTTACCTTGTCTACAGAATGTTCACTAAAATTATCCGGATAACGTATATTCATACATTAAATAAATCTTTTTAATAGAACCAAGGGATCTTTATTTACAATCGTGAAACGGACAGAGACTTTGAGTTTAGTATCTATGATAATATATATGCATAGGTACGGTTGAACCAAGGTTAGAAGTGATATAAATTTTTATATACCGTATACTTTGTTTCTGTGTTAGCGACTTTAC